AGAGATGAGTTCCACGTATGTTTATTTATCCAAAATAGCATTTAAATACTTAACAGTAGTGGGATCATCTGTTCCTTCTGAAAGGCTTTTTTCAAAAGCTGGAATTATTTTAACGCAGCAACGAAATAAATTGAAAGGGAAAATATTATCAAAATTATTATTTTTACACTCTCTAGACGAGAAATGGTGGTCTATATAAGTTTTTGTTGTAGATTTATGTGATGACTTATTGTATTTTTTACAACAGCGTTTTCTGTTCGACAAATGTGCCAATATTATTATATGCCTTTGTATCCGTCTTTTAATATACTTTTAAAATATTATAAAAATAAAAGAGAAAAAGAGAGATTCTATTTTTTTTTTATTGTGAAGTTTATTATTTATTTCTTACGTTGATATAATTCCCCTATAGCTAATAATATTACTAACTTAATTAAAAATTAAAATTTTTTACTTCAAAATAATTGTATAAATTTATCTTTCTTAAAATATAAATATAAGTATATAAAATATTTGCAAAACATTCAGCGATTATCATGGTGGAAATTTATTAGTTTTATGCGATATTTTCGTTCCGATATTATACTTTATCGATATTTTTGTCCCGATATATATCGACTATCGATATTTGCTTTTGATATATCATATGATACAAAAATCGATATTTTTCTTTCGATGCTCATCCCTAGGCCGGTCTAATCGCTTTAGCAAGCTGAGAGCCAAAACTGTGAACACTGACCACCACGGAGTCATCCCCACCAATTGCTGAAAGTGCTTCGAGAAGTCTCGGCAAAGCACTTCCAAGAATTGGAATGACTCGGGGAACAATACTAAGGAGAAAATTGGGAACGTTAGCAAAAAATTACTGTATTTTGTGATCTCGTTTAACTCATTGACCATTGAGTTCGTAAGTTCAAAAAGCTTTTAAAATTTTATTTTCGTGTGTAAACGGCGGGGATAATTAATACAGTAGACTCTCGCTATAGTACCGCCAGTCTCTCGTTATACTGCCGCTTTCCCCTTTACACGTACTTTAACGCACACACAAGACGCTCTCCTACCATGTCTGCCTGCGCGGAGTCGTAGATGCGGCGGCTTCACTTTGCCTTCACCCCACCATGCTCAATAGTCTTGTGCATCGCGCTTGATCGCGCCTGATCGAGGCGTGGAGAGGGCTCCCGCTATAGTGCCGTTTCCGAGAATTTCCGCCCCTACAGCGGCACTATAGCGAGAGTCTACCGTGTACTACGTTTCATATCTTTGCTATATCTTCAATTTTTTTATATTTTAAATTGTAATTTATTATGTATAAACTGTTACTTCATCACGAAACTCTAATCTCGAACGAATCTCGAAATTTCCTGGAGAAGAGAAAATTAACCAAATTGATTAAAACGGGACACTTTATATTTTGACTGATGCGCAACAGAGATAAGTCCAATTTGAAATTTCATTTTTATGAAAGAGCCAATTGACCAATTGAATTAATTTGTCCTAAATATTATTTATTAACAATTAATGAATAAAAAGCAAACTTGTACGGTTTAAAACATTAATCTATATATAAGTATTGTTAGAACGGTATGATTTCAGATAGAGCTTCCAAGATCACACATAAAAGTCGAGTTAAAGATTTTAAATAGGAAGTTTCAGTGTATATTGCATTTTCTCATAATTGACATCAAGACGTTTTCGAATAATTAAATTCTTTTTATTTAAGAACTATCTAACTCGTAACTTTTCAAAGTTTGAGTTCTGGCATTAGATATGTTACACAGAGGTTGTCCGAAAATTTACATCTTTTGTCTAGTCTTTATTTCTGCCGTGACACACACACACACACACACACACATAAACTTGTGCATGTAATAACTGTGGGCATGGAAAATATATGTCACTCGATGTCTCGCATGTCAAATGTTTCTAATAGCTAAAATTATTTCGTTCTCGCTTCAACTTCCGTCTCAATATAATACGAATGAACGTGCGATGAGTACGTGCTAATTTAGCGTGCGTATGCTGACTGCTAAATTGGCTTGCTCCACTACGAACAGGTTGTTTGACGATTTATTGCATATATCCGATAAACTGTAATGTGAATTAACAATATAACTCAATAAAATCGCAAAAATATATGAGAAGTCGTATTATCATTTTGTTTCAACATAAGAATATATATGTATATACATGTCACGTATATTGTTGATATCTTCTCTCCGGCTTGATGTTCGATTATTCAGAGAACTACAACGTTCGCGCCCCTTATTATCCAAGCGCAGTGCCAATACAGCCCTAGGCCTTCTCTACTCTATCCTGTACAGAATTACATCACATTACGTAACTATAGACGCTGCTGCTACTGAATCAATAAATACTTGTCTAGTTCGGGATACTTGGCAATTCGAGAGCTTGTTTCTGAGATCTCAACATTGTGTCTAACGACAACTCTTTAACTGCCGATTCATTAAAAAAGTGATTGTCGATGTGCGTTTCAAAGTTTTTTTGCGCGTTGTTGATTTAAATCATGTTCGAGTAGCAAGCGTTGACAAATTGCAAGTTAATGAAGCACACACACACACACACACACACATCGCTATCAGATTTAAAACGCTCGTGTTAAATAGTAATTTTTGTCAAAAAAATCTCTCAAATATAGTTGCCTGCACAACGTTAGTTATCTCTCAGACAATTTATCTAAAGTAATCTCTGCATATTACTATGTCGTATGGCGTCGAGTTCATATATATAATCATATCATATATATAAATTGAAAGTGCCAAGCACTTACATGTGACACTTTTATGTGACTTACATGATATACGCCGGATATGCATTAAGAGACGCATTCGCGTAATCGACTAATTGGTAAACGGGTTTGATAATTACGCAAATATCGTTTTACATAACAAATCTGGTTTTTATCGTCGCAAAGTATCGCGTGGATTATGTTTATACAACTTAATATTTTTTTATCCACTTGTTCTTTTTCTAGTTCGCGGTTACACGTTTAACTTCATACGACAGTCTTACGTAAGACTACTTATAATTTTAATTGCTAGGTAAATTGTTATACATTATAACTAAAAATACATCTACCGACACTATTTTCTGAAAACACGTACCAAAACGCGTTATTCTATTATTCTAGTACTTTTTTTTTTTAGTGGTTGTGAAAATTTAATGGCGCAACTTGATTTGAGGATCACTGCCAAAAACCAACACCCTCCTGTACCATGAAACTTGGGCTTCTTTCTTCTTTATCATCCCCTTACTTGCTACTTTATTCACCGGCAGGATGCTACGCAGTCATAGCAGCGTTCGCTATCACGTGAATCATATACGATGCCCTCCAACCCTACCTGAACGTAAAACACTGCTGCAGACACCATATGGTTATGAGCGCGGCTTTTGTATAGTGGTTTAACCTCATTTCACCAACTTTAAGACCACCTATCGCAGAAAACGACGTCGCGAGCGGGAACGTAAAAACCAAGAACTGGGTCAACGATAATTTTTGTGTTGTGATATATATATATAATCTATTCAGTTAGTAGATTCGGGCTCATATATCGCATTTCATCGTACAAAAATAATCAAATAAAACGATATACCGTAATATAATAATAATAATACAATATAAGAAAATACTTTATTTCATATATCTAAAGTACATATTTTTTTGTGACATTTGTATATAATATATAAAATAACAAACAATCGCTCCTATTTATAAGATTATTTAAGAGATAATTTTAGTGTTCGATGACCTCTCTAGTACAAACTCTTGTTTTTTATTTTTAGTAATATCTTATCAATTTTTTGCTTACGACGTTGTATCAAAAGTTACTTGAAACAACCTCATCTACCCCTTCGTTCTTATGTTCGCGCTAACATCGCGCGCAAGACGCGGTTGAAAACCGCTGCACAATACTCAGCTGTAGCTCTGACACAAGGTACTCGTTGAGGAAAAGAGGGACGAAGAGATGGCAACAGCGCTCAACGGACGGGTGGCACTGCTTCCACGCGCACGCGAATGCATGAGCGAGCGAGCAAGCGAGCGAGCAAAGGAAGCATGTATTCGAAGGAAGAGCAAGGAGAGAGACAGCAAGAGAGAGAGAGAGAGAGAGAGAGCCACAAACATGTCGAGACGAGGAACACATGCGCAAGAGTCTCTTCGTGATTCGTGTATTCGTATTATTCCCGATGCGCGAAGGAAAAGGGAGAGAGAACAGGAGAAAGAAAGAAGACCGATTTGCTTGTGAAAAGCGGAGAAGCACAGAACGAAGAAACGAAGGAGAAATGTATGTGTGCGCGTGCGTGCAATGCGCGTGAAATGCACCTCGCGCCGCACGACATGCACGTGCGCACGCATACACGAGATATGTACCTCTCTATCTCTCTAAATCCCCTCTTCAGCCACCACGCGTTACATATCTCTACGCGCAATATCGTAGCAATCGGTGAAGTATTCGACGAGAGACACGCTGCATCTCTGGCTTTAGCGGCTTTTCTAACGCATCAAAGGTGCCATCGTCGCGAACGAAAAAAGTCCGGCGCCAGAAAACCAAACGGAATACACACGTGTGAGAATATTTTTGCATTAACTATTGACTATGAAACCGAACTGTATGTTGAACTATTTATCAGAAGAGATACGTATATTTATATTGTATATTCAGAAATATGCCTTCTTTTTAAGATGTGTGAACTATCCGTTATAGTTTGTTTACGTATTGTGTATTAATTATTAATTATTAATGTAATATTCAATTTTTTTTCACTCAATTAATATGATATTTTATTTTATATATATATAAATATATATATATATATGTT